ATATATATATATTGCTGACTCTGCTCTTCTGCTTCAGTTAAATTCCCCACAATCTGCATCACTGTCACATGACCAAGCAGAGGTCACATGACCCTTAAACATAAGATGGAAATGAGCAACATCAGTTCTTCATATCCGCCCAGTTTACGTATTAATATAAGTAAGTTTAAAATTTAACTAGAAAAGCAGAGAGAATATTAAACAGTGTTTTTTTGTGCTTTTTGTTGCTATATTTTTGTGTCCAGAATTTCAGGTTTCAACCTACTGAAAGATAAAACAATGCTCATATTTTAATATATTGCAAACATCTTATAAAGACAAAGGCTGAGAATTGAATGCATGAATTTTGATTCATTACATAGATTTTAGTAAGTACAAAATGTAGCCCAATTAATCATTTTTTTCTTTTTTAAGGAGCTAGCCTGTCAGTGAAGCTATTCAACCCTAAAATAGCATCTCAATGCTAAACATGTAGCAGGTAATGCTAATGTTAGCGTCCACAGTCCAGATTTCTAAAGAAGCTCCATGAATGGTTGGGGCTTCCTGAAACTCTGGAAAACTGAATGGATGGAAAAACACTTCTGATGGCTGAAGAACAGATTTATTCAATAATTTACCAGAAAATTGTTTTTTGTATTGGATGTTTATGTTGTCAATATATAGATTTCGATTAAAATGTAATTAATTAATTTCAGACTTATTTGATTAAAAAGTTTAATCAAGTCCCATGTCTAGTTAAAACATTAATGCCTTGGGGGCCAGAGCCCCCCGGCCGCAGGTTTCCTCGCATCGCCCCTGGACGGAGCCGCGCTCAGCCCCAGATTTGTCGGGCCTCCCCGCTGACGGCTCTGACAGTCTGAACGGAGTGAAAACGGAAATGAGTCCCGCTGCTGGTTGCGGGTAAACAGAGTCGAACCTGCAGAGAGGCGCCAGGATTTGGAGGATTTTATTCTCAATATCTGATCTCAGATCGGAACCTCCATGTGGGTCAGAACATGCATCGGAACCTCACAGTTCTGCTGCAGGTTCTGCTCCTCCAGCAGCAGCAGCAGCAGCAGCAGCAGCGGTCTGCAGGACCTGACATGTCTGATCAGTCAGGATCCACCCTGAGATCTAACCCCCACCTCCGGCCCGGACCCCGCCGCCTCCATCCCCTCCCCTCCCGGCCCCGGCCGCGCCGCGCCGCGCTCACCTTCACTGATCGCTGATCGATGAGTGCGGAGCGGATCGATGGCCCGATGTGCCCGCGGTGCTCCAGGTGTCTCCCGGCGGCCCGCCTCCTCTACATGCTGGTGAGAGTCAACCCGGAAACCGGCGGCACGCAGCGCCGTTAACTATAAAAGGAGTGATTTCCTCAGGAGGAACTGAAGCGTGAGCCAATCAGAAAGCAGCAGGAGACAAGCTGGGTTCTGCCGCGCGCACAGACCCGAATGGACCATCGGAACCGGCCGCCTGCCCGAGCCCAACACACAGGACCTCCGGATCCAGGTGATCATCCATACCGCAGGTCCGCTATGGGCGCAGGCTCAAAGTTCCTCTGTGAAACCAGACTCCGTTTGAAATCCAACTAAAATAAAACATTTTCATCAGTTTCCACCTGTTGCTGAAAGATTTCCTGTTTCACCTTTAAACCACAACATCTTCCATAAACTTTTACTTTATTCGGCTCATGAATTAAGTCATTGGTCGGATTAATTCTGACAAATAACATGAAAAAATGAAGCAATGTACAGCTGGGATTTTTACTTTAACATGACTTATTTAGCCTTTTCCCTCCAAAAATTAAAAATATTTTCTATTTATTTTTCTTTTATCTGATCATTAGAGGTGGGTGGCTCAATAAAAAATATTATTGATACCAAGTCAGTTTCAATATCAGGTCGATACCAGGGAGATAAAATCAATACTGCAGTTTCAGTTTCAGTTTCCCTCTTTTTTTTTTGCATTGTAGTTTCTCAACAATATTGTTAAATGAATTTGATTTGCCCTCCACTGATCATTCTTTCACACTTTGTTCATTTAGAAATCTATGCACACAAATTAGTTTATTTTTCTATTGTTTATCATTATATGTCATTATTGTATTTTGCTTAAACTTTATCTGAATTCTGCCTTAGGATTTAACTAATTAATATTTGAATAATTCAAATAATTATCAAATAATAATAATAATAATAATAACCACACAAAAACGCCCAAGTATCTGAAGTTTGATTATGAATCCTTCTAAAATAATCAGTATTGGTATTGTTAATATTCCCTATTTACTTGGTGTTGGATCGATATATTGTGCTGAATCTCTGCTGGTCATCTTTGCCTGTTTGTCAGGAAATCTGAGTTCATTTCACAGTTTCTCTACTGCAGGATAGTTGACTGCATCTGAAGACACTGCAAGGCAAACAAGCCAGTTCATTATAAATTTATAATAATTAATTTCATACTAACACAAACAGATTCAGTGACATTTTCTGACCCTGAAAGTCTGATTAGTGTTTGTGTTAAACTGTCTTTAATCTTCAGATAATTCACTTCCTGTTTCATCAACTGCTCTTTATTATGAAAGATAAAACAGAGAACTTTACACAAAATTACATTTCTCTTTATTGACTTGTTAGTTCACACAAAAAAATTTAAAAAATTATGTTTTATTTATTTTTCTTTAAATTTACACAGCCTTTTATTTATTTATTTATTTATTTATTTATTTATTTATTTATTTATTTATTTATTTATTTATTTTAAGATTACAGCCTCTGTGGTGGACTGGTGACCTATCCAAGTGACCCCGCCTCTCGCCCGCTGACAGCATTAGGATCACCCCTCATGACTCCAATGGGATGGATGGATGGATGGATGGATGGATGGATGGATGGATGGATGGATGGATGGATGGATGGATGGATGGATGGATGGATGGAAGTTTGCAGCCTTAATAAAAACTGATCTTGTGTCCTCTTGGTGTAAATATGGGGTTGCTTTATTATTATTATTATTATTATTATTATTATTATTATTATTATTATTATTATTATTATTGTTGTTGTTATTATTTCCATTATTCAACCAGGTAAAACCTCATTAAGATCTAGATCTCATTTTAAATAAATCTGCAACAATTTTTATTGTTTATCATCATAAATCTGAATTAAATTAATCTTAAACAACTTTGATCAAATTCAACCTTCATTTTGTAACCATATAATTATTTTTTAATAAAATATCATTCAGCCAAAGGAGTGAAATCATTGGAGAGTTTTTCTCTGTGAACATTAGTGACTCAGACTTGATTCAGAGAATCAGATTATAATTTTCTCTTGTAAAACAGAGTAAAGTAACTGAAATATTTCATCAGTCAGGAGCTCCAGAGCTCTGCTGCCCCCTGCTGCACAGGAGCAACATTATATTTACCCACCGATGGGGTAAATGTGTGACAATAAAGGATGCTTCCATCATAATATTATGGTTGATCAAATGTGATCATTTTGTCCAGATTTTCTCACAGCAGATTGTGTCTTCTTGCCGGATTAAAGGAAGTGAAAATCAACTTTAAGAAAGTCTGACAGCTTGAGAGAAAAATATCAAGAAATATTTTTGAAAGTCCAATACTTTAAATAAATACTAATGACTAAATATTCAAATAGAATAGAATAGAATAGAATAGAATAGAATAGTATGAGCAAATTTACAACATAGGAAAAATACTGTACAGTTATTGGGAAAAATATATATATATTAAAATAAATATGCCACTCAACATAGTAATTTAAGAAAAATGCACAAGATGTTTTATTTGTTCTTAGAAAACAGACTGTTTATGAATGGATAAAATCAGAGAACAATCATGAAAAATCAAACATATCGAAGCGGAGGTCATTTTTCTTGTCTTTAAATTATTTAATCAAATAAATTATCATCTGAATCATTAAAAATGACTCAAAAACGATGAGAAGACAAAGTCATGAAGCCTACATTTCCCATGATTCTCCGGGACACGGAAATACGTCATCACCCGTGACCTTGACATCTCTTCCCATTCTGTTTTCTAACAGGACAGCATGGCGAACAAGGAGCCAGGTGTAAGTGGGTTTTTTTCCTTTAATATTTATGATTTTACGGAACCTTTTTCGTCTTTCCGGGTCCAGTTCGGTTGAACAGCCCCGTGGTTTCCCGCGGCTCGTGCCATGTTAAAACTCAGCGCGTGAGTCCAGCTGACGTTAGATGACAGATAGAGCTGATTTAGGAGGATTTGAATGCGATTAGTAATAATGTAAATGTCAGATTTTGCTTTATTTTAATGTCTGTTCTGATAAATGTGTTCAACATTGGTGACTCCGACTTGATTTAGAGAATCAGACGGGATTTATGCCAGGAAAGCTTCAGAGTTCCGCTCAGGAGTCCAAATTACGTTGACAAAAGCTCTAAAATAAGGTAATTTTAGGATTTTCTCTAATTTCCAGCTGGTATTCTGACTCTATTAAAACTTTATTAAAGTCTCCAGAAACTCAACTTTAATTCGGCTCATAAAGCAGGTGTTTGAATGAGATTTATTTTGATCTAATTGTTCTAAAATCCGCCGAGGATCGCTGTTTACACCACAGAACAACCGAATATTTACATGAGCTCTGTTAGAACAGGGATCCAAGCTTTAAGGCCTGGTATGGAGGTCAGCTTTGTTGATCCTGATGCTTTGTATCTTCAGGGTGTGTTGATCTAATCAGACGTGATCTGCTGTGTTTTTCAGGGTTTTCTGCAGCAGCTGCGGCAGATCGCTGGCAGGATGTCCTCTGGACCCCGGGGAGCAGGAATCGGACTGAAGCTCCTGATCGGAGCTGGAGCTCTGGCTTATGGCGTGAAGGAAGCTACATACACAGGTAGCCCTGACCTCTGACCCCAAACACCTCTGCAGCTGGTCTGAAGTTCTGCCTCAGCAGCAGAAACAGTTTAGTTTCAGTCCAGTTGGAGGAGAAAACTCTGATTTAAATCCAGTTGATCCCAATCCAAGTCAGTCTCCTTATAATCCCATCCAATCTGATTAGTACCTGGAAAACCTCGGGATCCTCTGGGATCCCACTGATAATCCTGGCTCATTAATTAGGTGAGAAACTTCATTTCTCACCTTATAAACCAGGGGTGTCCAAACTTTCAGCCATTAATAAAATTACGAGAACTCGAAGGCCACATTTTTTTTAGTTAAAACCAGAGGTGGGGACTCGAGTCACATGACTTGGACTCGAGTCAGACTCGAGTCGTTAAAATCACGAC